TGCAATGAATATTCGTTATCGCCCTTCTATTATGACATGTATGTTTACAGTTTAAGCCTTTCGAAGTAGCCTGAAATCGACCGTCTCAACCCTGATAGATCGGCATCGTAATCGAGCCATGAATGTCAGCTAGCTATGATGATTCTGACTGTGAAAGAATTTTGGACCTGAAGAATTCTTTTATTGGGTGTGTCCCGACCCGCCACAGCAGGACCTGAGCAGCCACTTCCACATGGGCCATTGCCTGACACACTCGTATTGCTACCGCTTACAGTGTCGCGCTACTTTTGCTGCTTCTGATCGACTACTCTTTGTTTCGTCTTGATCGTTGTGATTGGCTACAGCCTTCCCCCGAATACAACTCACGGTCATTGTAGCTGAATTTAGACTGAAAGATACACCAAATTCAGCTATAATGACCGTGCGTTGTATTCGGGGGAAGACTGTAGTCAACGCTGGTCGCTAGCTCCCAGCTATTCAACGCTGGTAGCTACCGTCTTCCCCCGAACACAACGCACCCTTATTTTGGCTGTATCTGGCCGGAAATATAAATTGTTAACATTCATTTTTAGGGTGCGTTATGCTCGGGGGAAGACGGTAGTCAATGTTGAGTCGTCGCCGTTGACGAGCCAATCACAACAATCAAGACGGCAGTCACGGAACGAAGCCGACATGTCGTTAAAACTGACAGAAGAAAGAGGAAATTTAAACTGGACATGACAAAAAACTGACATGTCGTTAAAAGTTAAAACTGACATTTGTTCCTAAATAAATTCACGAAAGTGGAGTCAGTGGACTTGGTCAAAATTTCATTGCTCATTAGGTGAGAAAGCGGCTATCTCACTTTGACGATCTGATGATGTATCTCAACGTACAGTACCGTCAAAATAAATCCGAGGGTCCTATCATCGATCGGGCTTCGTCACAACGCCCGAGCATCAGATAGTCCAACGTTCATGGGGACCAAAAACAGGATAGAAAAAATGTTTTTTAACTTCTTTCCGTACGCTCCATTTCGGGAGTTTTGAAAAAAATGTCAGGTCAGGTTTAACGAAATGTCAGTTCAAAGAAGTTACAAACAACACTTCCTTTTTTTTCTTTTTTTTTTGAAATAACTCCGCGGGTGACCGCTGCACAGTTTCGAATTCACAGGAATAACAGTCCACTCCAAGCTTGGGCGAAGACAAGTTCGAAACTGCAAGGAAAAATGCGTTCGACGGCCTACCGGAAACGCAGAGGGGCCCAACGAGATACAGGGAGTGAATCTTCGTTAGAACATGGAAAGATACAGTGCCATGATTTTTGTCTTTTGTGCAAAGGGGATACAGGGGCCCAACGAGATACACGGGCTGACAACAACCTATGCGTGTCATCCTTGGGGCCTCGTGGTGGTGCATCTTTCCATGTTCTAGTGGAAGATTCACTCTCGTTTTTTTTGTTTTTTTTTCAAGCACTGTCGCGTGGCTGGGCACTGCCCTGATGCCTCGGCCACATCCGAGGTAAAAAAAAGGAAAAAAAAAAGAAAGAAAGAGAGAGCATCCCGTCGCGTGGCTGGGCCACGGCCGCGATGCCTCGGCCACGGCCGAGATTTAAAAATAATAATAATAATAATGCAATTTCGAACTTGTCTTCACCCAAGCTTGGAGTTTCGAACTTGTCTTCGCCCAAGATTGGAGTGGACTGTTATTCCTGCGAATTCGAAACTGTGCAGCGGTCACCCGCGGAGTTGTCTCTTTTTTTTTCCTCTGTTTTTGAAGTCCAGGGTGTTGTAGAGGTCGGTTTCTGGACCCTTCACAGGTACCTATCTACAGTCAGCACCTAATTTATGGGGGACCCAGACCATTCAATCTTGGAGGATCCCCCTCAGACAGCACCCCTCCCCCCCTACTGCAGGTTCCCCAACGATCTCCTCCACCAGAGTCTGTCTACTAACACCCCTCCTAACGGGATCCCTTAAGACAATCCCCCGCTGTAGGTTCC